TAAACATTTGACAGTTTTTATACAAAAATAAAAAAAACTCTTAGGGTCTTTGTGACCCCCACCAAAAATCACAATAGTAGTTATGGGTTAAAGAAATAATTAACAAGAACCCACTTTACAGTATGTAGTATAAAAATTACTGTCTTCCTTCATTTTTTATCACAGTGTCAAATTCTCGATGACACAGCTATGGGCTGTAACAGTAGATAACACCTGCACCCTTTTGATAGGAATGTAGAAATTGTGGTCACATTTCTTTTTTAAATTAAAACCTGTTAACTTAGTCAGTCTATCTATCCTACTATTTATCTATTTACATACAACCACACACTCAACCATTTGAGTGAACAACTATAATTTACTATGATTGTATATATATATATCTACAGTAAGCTAACCATTCACCTATTTCAAACCCAAAACACTGCAATTAAAATCTAGTACATATACATGTAACTGTATGGGTTATTTGTACATCAAATTAAATAATCACATGGTTTTGGTAAAAACTAATGAAAAAAAAACAGGTGGATTTTCTTTACTTGGTGCACTCTCTAAACAAATATACTTGATTAAATTGTATTTCTGATAAGTTATCAATGTAAAACAAACATATATGAAGAGGTATTTTACATAAATTAAATTCAGTTAAGACTGTCAACACTTCAATAATGGGTTCAATAAATAATGATAAAGTGATGCATGTGAAATTTTGGAAACCTTAAGAAACAACACACTACCATGCTGTAGCTAGAAATTCAAAACTTCTCATTTTTGGATTTTACATCATTACCAAAGAAACATTTAATTCAAATGATAATTTTTTAGGAAAAATGCCTGTGAGACAATCAACATAACGTTAAAGAGATCTTTTGGTCCACCTAGGCCATACTATCCACTAAATTACACACCAAAATCCTCAAATCCAGCTATTATCATTCATATATATTTATCAAGCTTTTCCTTGAACTCTCATAAATTAATTACAACCACAACATCCAAAGATAACTTGTTTCAAAGGCCAACCATCTTATTAGAAAAATAAAGCTGTCTTAACGAAAGATGACTCCTACCCTGCCTAATTCTATACTTCTGTTCCCTAGTCTTACTATTCTCACTGTTAAATATGAAAAAAGATGATACACCAACATTATCAGTTCTCAAACACCACAATCAGATTCTCTTTAATTTTTCTTTTTTAAAGAGAAAACAAGTTCAGAGATTTAAACCTATCCTCATATGACAACCTTACCATCCTCATCATAGCAGCTCTCCTCTGAACCCTTTCCAATAATTCAATGTCCTGTCTAAAGTAAGCACACTGCTCCAAACATCGTCTACACAATGATATTATAACCTCTTTAAATTTACATTCAATATTTTTGTAGACACAATCTAAATTCCTATTTGCTCCGCCACCAGCAACAGCTTGGATGGCTTAAAAGACTGATCAACCAGAACACCAAGATCTTTTTCTCTTATAACACTATTAAGGTTATTCCCATCAAAATTATACTCATGATATCCCACATGCATTATCTTTAATTTATTATAACTAACACACAATCAAGATGAATTCTAGTAAACATTAAAGTATTAAGTTATTGCAAACAAATTATATCTTTTTATTTGAAAAATCGATTTAGGCCTATACACAGAATGTTTCAAAGGAGGGTTCTAATTTGTGAGATCAAAAGCCAACACATCAGTATGCAAAGCATACTAATGCTACAGGGGTCTGGGGGGCATGCAACTATTTCAAGCCAAAAAAATGCTAATACTTCACATGAAGAATGTGGAAAATGTGAAATACCATAAGCAGCTGTGCTATAATTATATAAGCATATTTTTTTTTACATCACAAAAATAGAGGGTTTGGCAGAACCCCCTCAACCCTCCACCTCCCCTGGGTAAGTGTGTGTGTTCTAAATAGAGGTTTTGGCAGAACCCCCTCAACCCTCCACACCCCCCTGGGTAAGTGTGTGTGTTCTAAAATTAGATTACAACTGTTGTTAAAAAACTAAAGATGTGCAGTCAAAACAGCAAAAGTATACTTTTAGAATGGCTATAAACTAGTAGAAACTAGCAAATCTATCTGCAGTCATAGGGTTAAGGATTTATTTACTAACCTGTAAGGCCAAAATAAACAAAATTAGACCATTAGAAAACATCCATTATGGCACATGCAAATTTCTATTAGTATTTCCTGCGAAGGGCTCTAAAAATATATATCCACTTCAGTCAGGTGAAATGTATTTAGCACTATTGTTAAATGCACTTCAAACTAAACATGCATGCAGTGCTATCATGTTAAGTATCAAGTGTAAAGAATATTAGTGATTTTGTGATGTTTTATCACAAACTTACCAGTATTTGTTCTCTATTGGTTTTGGTGCTATATGTTTTTAAATAGCATACATGCCAAAGTTTCAAGAACTTACATGTACAAGAAACTATCACCCTTTCTTGAAATAATAAAAAAAAATGTGTAGGATGACTCTTCTCAGTTTCATTAATTGCAGTAAGGTTTTCATGTGTTTATTGTAATATATATGAATAGAACGTTGTTGGTGACAGGGTGTTGAAAGATAAATACATCCACTTCAATGTTACTGAAAAAAATTATATGTATATTTTATATAGATAAAACCTAAATGAAATGATTTTTAGTATTCAATTTGCAATCATACTTTTAAAGACTCTTTAAGACAATTTTTATAATAATATTACTGTTAAGCCTTGTGTAAGGATTATGAATAATGCTGTGTAACTACGGTTATGGTCTGATGGAACTGAATAACAGTACGTCCAAGGATGTTTATGGAAATCAGCTTAATGACTTTAATTACAGAAGTTTTATAATAATATGTTACTAGTCCACTTATAATCAGGCAGAAACTAGAGTGTTTAGAAAAACATTTAACTTAACTTTTTTCTCCACTAGTAATCTCTAATTAAGAATATCCACACCACTAGTGCTTTGTTACCAGATCCATTATCATTATCATTTCATTGTCGTTGAAAGTAAAGAACAAACTACTCAACTTACTTTTTTTTAATGCAGAGTTTCAATAGACACGTAAAGGTTGTACTTATAACTGAGTTCTAAATACAATGAGGTTCCAACTGTAATATTTATTGTTTATCATTGGCTGATAATTCCTGTTTCTACCTTGTACCTAAGAAAGCTAACTTCAAGGGGTAATGATAACATCATATACATTAGAATTATGATTTTATTTTAATTACTACTAGTTAATAATACTTATGACAGTGGATACTCTATTTGAAACTGTGCCACCTCAGTGAAATTGGTTGACACCATTTTTTAGTTATCATGTAATATAAAACAAGTAGAAGAAAGATGAACAAGAAATTCAAACTTGTTGCTGTGATATTTACAGATATTCCCAGACCTTGTAACTCAGTCATTAGATAACTATTGTAATAAAAGAAACACTGTACAGTATTGTAAAGTTCTGATGACCTATTGAGGAGATATTTAAAATACCACTTCGATGAACAATCCAAGGCATCCCTACATAGACAGTGCTACCACCTGCCTGATAATATCAATATAAGATGAAATTTAAGAACAAAGGAACCTCTTGGTCTATCTAGGCCATCCAATACACTAAAATAAACTGAACTAAAAAAAAACACCTCAAAGCCAACTCTTAATATTCAATTATTTATCAGGTCTTTCTTTAAACTCCCTTAAATTTACTGCATCCACCACATCCAAAAGCAATCCATTCCAAAGGCCAACCACCCTGTTAGAAAAATAAAATTGTCTTAGCAGAAGATGACTCCTACCATGCCAAAATTTATGTTTGTGACATCCAGTCCTACTATTCTCACCATCAATTACAAAAAAGATGACATACCAACACTATAAATTCCCTTAACAACCTTTAACACTTCATCCAGGTTTCCTCTAACTCTTGTTTTTTTTTCAAGGGAAAACAATTTCAGAGATATTTACTTCTCCTCATATGAGCAGCCCTCCTCTGAATGCTTTCCAACAATTCAATGTCCTTCCAACAACTCAATGTCCTTCCTAAGGTAAGGAGCCCAAGACTGAACACAGTACTCCAAATGTGGCCTAACCAATGATCTATACAATGACATTATAACCTCTTTAGACTTGTATTCATTATTTTTGAAGATAAAACCTAAAATACTATTTGCCCCACCAATATATTTTTCCTCAGTAACACTGTTAAGGTTATTCCCCAAAAATTATTCTCATAATTCAAATTATGACAACCAACATGCGTTACCTTACATTTATCATAATTACAAGCCATCTGCCATTTATTCACCCAACTTACCAAATAGTCTAAACCTTTCATAAAGCAGCAGCATTCTCTTCACACCCAATGTCTTAATAAGCAGCTAATTCAGTTTCATATACAATGGTTGCTATACTTTGAGACCATGTATCTTACAGTTATTTCTTACTATTTCTCACAGATTGGTCATATTAGCATGCAATAGCACAGACACAAAAACTCATTGTCCAGATAACCAGAATTGATAATACAGTGGTACAAAGGTAAACTGAAGGGCCTCAGCTTCTAAGATACTACAATGCATGCATGATTTGTCAACTTAATGGTCTTTTTTTAGATATATTTTCTTTGATTTTTTGCAGTTAAACAAAATATTATTGACAAAACTTCCAAAGCAAGCCACAAAATAATTTCATTTGAGTGACCTATTATTAACTATTTTTTCCTTGCTTTCCCTCGTAGGTTCTTAGCATTAATTATGCTATTTAATAATGTAACGCATTATACACCATTCATCAAAAAAATTAATTTAGATGAAAAACTCATGAAATCTACAAGTTACCTGCAAGGACAGTTTAAGATGTATAGCTAGAAACACAACACTGAATGTTAAAATTTTAAAATTATGTACATTGTGTTTTGCAATAACCATTTTATAAACTTGTGCTAAATTTGCACAGAAGAAAAAAAAATCATCTAACTGACCTGGCAATCTGATTTCTGTTTATATACAACACAGGAGTACTTGGATTCTAACTGTTCGCTTCTTTCAGGACTGGTCACTGATGCTGTATGTATGGAGGAATTCTGCTGTTGTTTTTGGTCATGGGAGGACAGGCTGGGATTCCCTCTTCCAGGACTGTTTAAGTGTTCAACACTTTGAAATATGTCCCACTGTAGTTCCTGATTCGGTGGCATAATGAACTTCTGACCTTCTGCAGAAGTAACTAAGTGTTGCTGAGACCTTGTAAAGTCTAACTTTTCACTGTTGCATTGTGACTTTAGAGATGGACTTACCAGAGAATCCAGAGACTTACATGCAAGTCTGTGTTGCAGCTGTTCTTCTTGATGGATCAGGAGTTCTGGAGAGTTGGCTGTACACCATTGCTGTGCTTGATTCTGAATGAGTAATGACTGTTTACTTCCTCCAGGACTCATCACAAACTGCCGAGATTTAGGTAAATGTTGATCTTGAAGTTGGGAGTAAAGGAGTTGATTCTTCCTGCCTGAACAAACCATGGGTTCCAGAGGTTTAAACAAACTACTATCCTGATCCAAAATGTTTATGAAGCGTTTACTTTTTTCAGGACTTACCATTGATAACCTGGATTTAGTTAACTGTAACTGCTGATCCTGAAAGTGAGAGTGAAGGAGCTGGCTGCCACTAGTAGCAGAAACCAAAGGTTTAGACAAAGTGTGATCCTGATCCAAATTTCTGATGAACTGTTTACTTTTATCAGGAATGCCCAACTCCACAGGCTTGGGAGAAATTAGCTGTTCATTATGATGAGGAACTGTAACAATATGTTTGATTTTTACAGAACTAAATTCCTGTGCTGAAGAAGTGGAGAATGGTGAGTGATGCATATCATTTCCATCAATGTTTGAACACACAACTGGCTCCAAGGAATCAGACAATTTGTGTACCTTACTTTCTTCAGGCCTGACCATTTCAACACAATTAGACATACACTGTTCGTCTTCAATCCGATTCATTAAAGGTTTATTTTCACTTGGATTGCTGGAAAGATTCTTAGGTTTGGATGCCTTCTCCTGTTCTTGACACCGATAGACCCAATAGCTAGAGTGAGTAATAAGTAGTTGTGATGATTCTTCAGCTACTGCTAGGATTCCTGAACAACAATGTAGCTTCTGCCTGGAATCATAAAGTCCTATCATCTGGCTTGGAGAGAGTCCAAGCATAATATTTTTTGCAGGGACAACTTGCCAGTTTGAATACATGGACAATTTGGGGTCAGTGTCTTGAGGAACATACATAGGTTGTGGTCTGTAGATACTGCAGTAAGTTGACCTGGTTGAGCACTTTAACCCTAAGTATGTGTAAGCATGTCCATTAATGTATTGCTGAACACAGTGTTTTTTTGAGCGAGGTGTTTCAGGACTGATCAGAGTGGACCCTATCATGGTGATAACCTTCTTCTTCAAGGGCAAAGACGAAGGTCTAGTGGGTTTTGTCTTTTTCATCTGTCCACTATCATTTGCTATTCTTTGTGTAGAAGTAGGCAGTGGAAGAGGTTTGTCTGATGTAGGTATATTAAGAGAAGATGTGGAGTTAAGATTTACGTTCACAGTGGAATTTAATGGCTGCTGATGAGGTGATTGTGTACTGTCGTTTTGGCAGCTCCTGGCTAATGCCAAATGTACCACAGAGGAAGGAAAGAATGGTGAACATGGTGAATGAAGTGTATTTTCAGGAACTGACTGAGTTTTAACTAAACTCTTATATTGGTATTGATCAGAACATGTACTGTGTGCTTCTTCTGAAAAATCCCCAGGTATAATGGTATCAGATTTTCTGTGCAATACATTATAGTTTGGTATGAGAGAACAAACAGTTGTTTCTCTCTGATCTGAAACTAAGCCTTCTGCAACCGAGGGCTGATGAACAGTGCTTTGAATGGATGGCAATGAGACTCTTGTCCTGTAAGAAAACTCAGCATTAAGCAGCTTATTGCCCAACAACCTTTGAACAAGTTCTACATTTTCAGCTTTGTCCAGGTTAATAGGTGAAGTACCAGGAAATGTTTTTCCGAAAAGTTCTTCGTGGCTACTTTTCTTTGAACTGTTAACAGCACTCGACATACCAGGTTCAAAAATTACAGAAGTTGACAAGGGTTCAGCTTGAAAACAAACTTCAGAGTTTATTTTCTCTTTAAGAATGCTTTGAACAGCAAGGACAGTCCCTCCGGAATTCAAAACTGGCTTCGATAGGGTAACAACAACTGATGTGTTTAAAGGATTATCAAGTGGAAGTGGTTCATATTTTATTCTAGATTCCGTTATTTTAACCTTAGATGATTCTTGAGTGGTAGAAAATGCTGAGTTCACATGTGTAGGATGGAAATGCTGGCTTTTCTCAAACTCTTGTGGATCTTGTTTAGAACCTTTTGCCACCATTTTGTTGAATATTTTAGCAGAACTAGTTGTAAATACTGGCTTTGAATATTGATTATTTTTGGGAAGATTGGGTAATTCACTGGAAGACATAATATCTTCAACTAGAGGCACTACTGGATCAGTTACTTTTCTCTTTTTAAAAGGAGGAGTTTCAGAGCCAACGTGAGCTAAAGATTTTTTAATTGGATGAGAAGAATTAGAAATTCCATGATAATATGTTTGCAAAAGAATTCCACTATCTGGAGGTAACATTTTTCCCTGCTGAACCAAAGAATATGCTGAAGAGTTTGACTTAGATAACTGGGGTACAGAAGCAATCAAAGGAGATGATGTTATCAAGGAACCACTTGATGAGATGTTCCCTTTTAAAAAATGTAAGTTTTCTTCATCTGCACACGTGTACTCTTGGCTTCTTTTGCAGTAATGCTGTTGGTGAGCAATGAAGTTTTCTCTAGAATGGAACACTATATTACACAGTCTGCACAAAAATGAGATTTGAGGTGATTTTTTGGTTGTTTCTATCACCAATGGTTTGTCTAAATCCAACATAACTGTTTTTTCCTTATTCCTATCCTTAAGTAGCAGATCTTTGATGATACTTCTCTGTGGGCTTTTTGAATGCTGTTGAGAAGCCTCTTCATGGATGTCAACTTTTTCTAAAACAGACAATTTTTCGTCACTGTCATGCAAAGGAAGGACTTCCTGTGATGAAACAAATATTTTATTAATGTCTTCACAACTTTCTGATATACCTTTTCCCATCAGAGCAAACTGAAATTTAGACCCTAAATACTGAGTAACATTAGAATTAACTTTTTTTGCAAGGCTTGAGTCTTCACTGTAACGTCTCATTCGTACACCACTTTTACATTTCTTTAGTTCTGATTCAACGTTCTGGCTAGAAGAGATGCTGGATTGACGAGTATATCGCCATGACCACAGGGGATCTAAGGTTTCAACAATAGCAGCATTTTCAGAGATAAGCTTGCTAATTCTTTCTTCTAGAATTTGAGGGCTTGTAACAACAGGAGACTTAACAGATTTTGCAGACAGAGAGGCTCCATGATTAGAAATTGTGACAGATCCATCTAACAGGGTACTGAACTCTTCCGCTTTTGTCTCTGGTATTTTCAACCTCAGTCTTTGATTTAACGGACTCGTACTTTCTTTTTCAAAACTAACCAATGGATCATAAATGCTGTTGGTTATAATATTTGTTTTTTGATTTTCAGTTGCTATATCTGTATTTTCTTCTCCTAATTGAAAATACATACTTAAATTTTTAGATTTTCCCATTTCACCTTTAGATGATGAAGATTCAGTGAAATAATTACAGCCCGAGGATGTCAAACTTTGGAGACCAGACTCCATGTTACAAACGTTCACTGTTGAGCCACTTACTGAATTTGGCATCAGGTTATTATCCGTTATGATATGTGAACCGCTTTTGACATTGGCAGCTTTTATGGTTGGGCAATATACCATAAATGGCAACGAAACACTGCTTTCTGTTGATCCCTGTGAAATAGTTACTTGTGCCATTGTGTTGCTAGGCAGTGCACCTGTCAGATTTATAACTTTTAATTCTGTTGAGCTGTATAAAGAGGTTGACATTCCTTCTGAGCTAATAACGTTTGTAGGGATTTCTTGGTTTGAACTGTGGGGCAGAGTTACATCATAGGCAGTCTTCTGTTCTAGAGTTTTGGTTTTTAGTTCATATTCTTTCTTTTTATCATCAATTTCCTTTTCAGTACTTCTTACACACTGATTGTATGAAAGAGTATTGAGCATTACACTAGTAACAGGAATGGATGACTCGGTGTTCATTAAATAGCTTTCAGTCTGATGTAGAAGGAAATTACTATATGCAGAGTCTCTTCTGTCTTTATTGGATGTTTTCATTGACTTACTATTTGAACCAGAGCACCTATCCTCTTCTGAAACGTTACAAAAACTGATATTACTATCCTGTGTTCCATATCGTTTAGAGACCACTGATGCAACGTCGTCCTGGACGTTGACCATTTCCTGAGGCAGGTTTCCTTCTGTACTTCCACTTTCACCTTGATTCCACATTTTAGTATGGTTAGTGTTTGTACGTTCACTGTTTCGTAAGACATCTCTACATACAGGATTTGGATTGTGCTTATGATTCACAGTCAGTGGCTCCTTATGATTCACAGTACTAACAGATGTATCTCTGTTTTCTACAGCAGCTTTTTTTGCAGATTCATCTTCTGGCTTATGCTTACTCTCTCTAGAATTGAAACATACATCTTTGCTGTTGGTCTCCTTTGCACTTAGAAGTGGCAAATGGTCTGAATCTTGTTCTTTAACCTTACACGAGTAGCTTGGACCACCTTCGTACTTTGACAGTAATGTTGTACACAAAATTTTATTATTAGAGGACTCGTCAATGGAACTGATTGATGATAAGCTACTACCTGGCTGGTTGAGCTTACGTTTTGAGGGTGTCTCATGTTTTTCAGCTCCAGTGGAATCTGAAAAAGTCAAACATAAGCAGTTAAGAAGAATTAAGCACCCACTTTTACACACTAGTAATATCTCACAACTGCTGCTAAGAGTACAGGCAGAAGTTGTAACTGTATTAACACTTAAAATTATTGCCATTTTGTAATCTAATGGAAAAATTCAGGGAGCTATAGAGAAAAGCTAAATGTTTGTATGCTTTGGTTTATTATTTATATGAATTCGTGAATTTTATAAATATTATCTTATTATTTTATTATATACAATGCAGTTCTTTTTTTTTTACAAAAATGCACATTTTTTGTTTCATCATTCTCTGTAATGGATTTACATTTACCTCAACCTATTTACCACATATAACTGTAATGGGTTTACATTTACCTCAACCTATTTACCACATATAACTGTAATGGGTTTACATTTACCTCAACCTATTTACCACATATAACTGTAATGGGTTTACATTTACCTCAACCTATTTACCACATATAACTGTAATGGGTTTACATTTACCTCAACCTATTTACCACACATATATTCCAGTTAGATATAAAAAAGTTATTTTCAAATCTTGAAAATGTCACCTATTTAAATTTAACTGTGGATTTGTAGAGCCATTCAATGATCCATAAAAGTTTTAAAGACATTTTTAGAACCTTATTCACTATGATCACATGTCCGAAGTAGATTTATGATGTTCTCGTCAACTTAGGATGGTTTTTATCCATACAGTATATCAACAATACAATTATAGTGATAAATCATTCTTTATCTAGTCATTTAATCTATTTACACTTGAAACATGTAAAAAAACCCAAATAAAACAAGGGTACCTTCACTCCCAATTTCTAACTTTAGTTAAGACAGCCCCAGAGCCCAGCATGGCCAGGTGGGTAGGACGCTCGCCTCGCAATCTGCGGGTTAGCACCCCCGTCCCACCAAACATGCTTGCCCTTTTAGCCCTGTGATGTCTCCATGGTGACAGAGTTTAACATCTCTGGTATCTCCAATGCAACAATAAATATTAAAAACTGTGATGTCTCCATAGTGACAGTATAGTTTAACAAACTGGATTTGCTAATAGTGACAGTAAAGGTTAACAACAATTGTGATGTCTCTGTAGCTACAGTAGAGTTTAATGACATTATATCTTCATACTACAGTAGAGTTTAATGAACATGATGTATACATAGTTACAGTTAACCTTAACAACTGTGATGTGTTCATATTAATAAACCTTAATGACTCTATGTCCATAATGATAGTAGAGTGTAATGACTGTGATGTGTCCATAGTAACAATAAAGTTTAATGTCCATAATGAGAGTAGAGTGTAATGACTGTGATGTGTCCATAGTAACAACAAAGTTTAATGTCCATAATGAGAGTAGAGTGCAATGACTGTGATGTGTCCATAGTAACAATAAAGTTTAATGTCCATAATGAGAGTAGAGTGCAATGACTGTGATGTGTCCATAGTAACAATAAAGTTTAATGTCCATAATGAGAGT